GAGAACCAAACTTCTCACAGATCAGATACCTATACTTTTGAATATAGTTAGCACTTATTTGCATCCTTAGGTATGAGAACAGCTTTAAAAAAAATCGTTCTTTAATGTTCCTTTATAGTCTGGACCCTATATTAGCTATTTGAGAAGTGAAGGTCAGTAATTACAGTGAAAATACGCAAAGGAAAATGTAGAGAATATCTTGCTTCAAAGATACAGAGAGGGACTTAGATGGGAGGATCAAATGTCAGCTGCTCCAGCCTAAGAAAGTCTCAAGCAACATTTAAGCAGCATTATTTTAGGACATCAAAGTTCATCTTCAGATTTAAGGAGTGGCTGGAAAATTCTTACAGCTCATGTTACAGTTTGGGTGTGCTGTTGCATTTTTTTATGGTAGAATACTACTGCACAATTGTGATTTTCTTATTTTCTTATGCTTCTTTCACAACTGAGAAGATAACATGCTGTCAGTCTGAAGCACCCTAGAAATAAAAACAACAAGGGTTTTAAAAACATACTTTGCTTTTCCTCAAGTATCTCGTTTCTCCACCCTTCATTTTGCTGAATGCACTGATGACTATACCCGAGGCAGTTTTGCAGTTGTTTTTCAATCCTCCCTTTCATCAGCTTCACTTTTTATTACCAGTCTAAAAGAAATGTATTCATTTCTATAAAGAACTGCATGTTTTTTCAAGATAAAACTTAATCAAGCATTGCCTTGAAAGTGGCAGCTAATTACTAGGCACCTCTGTAAGGCCGACATTGCCATGCAGAGATAATTCAGCACCCTCCTGCCTCTTCCCCCGTTTGAGTTGCTGAAAACACGTCCCCACTCCAGCATCTCTCCCTTGGTCTCCCCTGTGCCAATATAGTTTCTTACAGAAAGAGTTTATTCCCAACACTTGAAGTTATAGCCAGATCTGCTGCTGCAGCAGCACTCGAGCACTGTCCCCATCCCACTGCGAGGCCTCCAAACCAGCCTCCTTCTGATCAGATGTCTTCCCAAACCCTGATGGGGAGCAGAAGGGGGTCCTCTCCTTCAGCACAGTTGCCATGCCCCCTTGGACCTCCTGCTGCTTAAACTAATCCGGGATTGCTTACAATACGTGCACTTAGAGTGTGAGTTTGGGATATGTGGCAACCCAACAGAAAAATTGTGTCCTTTGGTCTCAAACTCCAGCTCAGCACTGCAGAATGACATTCACATGACGGTTTCCAAAGAATGGGGAAAGCCTTTAACTAGCACTCCCCTGTGCTGCTCTGCAAGTAATCAAAGCAATTATTAATACAGAAAGGATCAAGAAGAAAACCCAGACCCTTTTAAAAGCAGTGCGCTTTCTTTCAGTTACACCCTGCTTCTGGCCATTTGACCAAATGCAGGAGGTGAATAACCTCTACATTTCTGTCACAGGGCTGTACTGTTGGAATTAATAGAAGTGCCTGAAAATCGATTCCTGGCATTGCAGTGTGCAGGCTGGGATTTTTTCTCTGAGACGTCACAGAGCATCTGCTAGCAGTTATCTTTCTGTGCTAACTCCAGGTGAATTTGGAGATGCTATCTGTCCTCCTTGGAAGCTTTCATTCTGTTGAAAAGGAACTTAGAAACAAACATCTGCGTCTGCTCAACTATAATTGTATATTTTCTTTCGGCTCCTGTCGAAGTCTCCAAAATATTTTAGCCACAATTTTATGGTTCGTGATGTGTAGAGGTGAAAAATAAAGAAAAAGGCAATAAAACTGGGCAGAAACGTACACAAGCAGTTATTCAGAGAGGTTGTAAAAATGTCACATACTGGGTTTAATACTTTTATTACCCTCTAATTTCAGCTGTGCCGTTTCAGTTAGGGCCAGTATCTCATTTTTTAAGCACTGTTCTAGCATTCACTGGTGGCACTGATCTTAGAAAACTGTAAATTTCCTTCCTGAGAATCTCTGAAATAAAAGACAACTTGCCCACAATCTGAGGATTGTTGCTGGACAGAGAGCTTTACTTGCTGCGCAGACCCACATGCGTGACCCACATTCTGGCAACTTTATTTCGGCAGCTTCCACCTATCCCTGCAGCCTGCAGAAGCATGGGTGCAGCCAGCACTGAGGAGGGCTCTGGGAGCTGCCACGGGCTTTGCTCACCTTTCTGTCTCCTGGGGGCCTTTTGCATGGCTTTTAATGCCATAGCAAATTGTGACGCAGTGCAATTTCCCTTTCTTTCATGGTGACCTGTGGGAAAATGTTATCTGTCATTTCCCAACAGCTCTCAGGGCCAGGAATAAGATGCTAACTAGCAGACTGGCAGAACTTGACTGGCACCGGCCCTGTCTGCGCTTCAGAGCAGGCCCATCAACTGCTGACTTCTGCAGCAGACACGCTGCACCAGCACAAATTTTTAAGTTCAGCTCTATCACCAACCAGCAACATGCTCCACTGCTCTCAAAGGTTCAGCTGCTGTGGTGTTCTTGGGGCTCTCGTAGAAAAAGGAACAAAAAGAGGGTGAGTCAGGTGGCCACAGTATTGCAAAACACTGCTGTTTTTCTTAAGTTGTGACACTGGTGTCCCTGGAATCTCCACGATACAAACATTTCGCAGATTAAAAAGGGATTAGCAAACAGCCCGACTACCAACAGTACCTAAAACATGCACAGATGTTTCCAGCTGGGTGACATCCACTGACAGCACACAGGAAGCTTACATTTGTCTCTCATTTCTTTTTGCTAGGGTGGATTGTAGATTCCACTCAGTACAGAAAAGGCTATAAAATCACCAGGCACCACTTGACTCTCTCACAGTGACCCTATGTGGCTGCAGCCACCCCAGTTTCCAAATGCACGCGTTTGTTTTTCCATGAGGTGGTCACTGCTCTTGTGCAGCTGAAGGTAGCGAGATCTCCAATTTCAAAGCAGGTTGAATTTGGACTCCCTCCTTTTGTATTCACTAATGCAGTCAAAAGAACATGCTAACAAGGTAAAAAAAGGGCTCAAAAAAGAAACTGAAATTGAGCAAGTGGCTGCTAGGAGCACTCCTGCTTGGGACTGGCTCTGCAGGAGCAGCTGCATTTCATGCATTGAAATAGTTAAATGCATGCCAAGTTGCCTTTGTATTGCTCTGAAGTCTTAATTAAAATGTTATGTGGCATGAAGTCACGTTTTCTGAACTATAATTTGCCTTATAAATCATTAATTAGGTACACACCAGTGGGTGGTTATCTTGCTCTCAAGGGGCAGCCATAAGTTTTCAACTGAACGTGTGTCAAAAATGATTGCTGGAAATCCAAGTGGGAAATGCTATAACCTATCTGGAAAGACTTCAAGGGAAAAGAGGAAAGGATACTGTCTCATGTAGTAGAAATATGAGGGGAAAAAAGAGCAGTAAATAAGCCCTTTCCTCTTTTCCCGTCCAGTCTATCTCATGTTTTAGTAAGGGATGAGTGAGCTGGGCTACACCTACAGAATGTACACAGACAGATCTGCAGCACATGGTAAGCGGAGAGAAAAATGTTCGCAGCCCACTTGGTATTAGGAAGACTGAGAGTGGCAAACTGGGGAAAGAGAGGGAAGAAATGAAAGGGGTATAATGCATCCTTTGTACATTAAATCAGTCGGCTCTTTGGGAAGAGGTTTTTGTCTGCTGATATTTTTGGTGTGGAAAAGATCTAGCCCTGGACTAGGAATGCCAGGCACTGCTGCGATGTGGATGAGCAGTAATTGAAAGCAACCGAATCAATTACTCACTATTACTAACATTTGGAACTTGTGCAACCTCTTAACAAGAAAATCGTAAATGCATGCACAATCCTCACCTCAGAAGCATCTGTCTGGGAAGGATTAGCAGGTACTGAAGAAAGTCTCTCAGAAACGGTTATCAGCCACTTGGTGCTGTCAGAACTCCTCTTTATCTTCTTGCAGCCGCAGTGCTGTAGCTTGCTGTTTTTCCCTCTCTGTCTTAAGCAGTGCATAAAGGTACACTGCCAATGATACGTGACCAGTTCCAATTGTTAGTTAGCTCAGTCATTCAAGCATTTTAAATCTATTAACAAGCTGGCCATTAAATGAATCGCTGACCTATTTCTTTGCTACTTGAGCTAAGAAACCATAACTGATGACCTACAAAAGCATCAATGTGTTAAGAAAAGTTATTAGCTGCAGAACCGGAGCAGCAATTAGTCACTTCAGCTTCTTCTACCAGCTTGAATAGAAGGATTCACCATTGCCAACTTCCAGTAATTCACCAGAAACTAAATTTTGACAGAGACTCATGTCTGGGGGAGCAGCATGCATCTCTTCTTCCTCAGTTCAGTACTGGAAAGTGTTTTGGCAAGCATCTAAACTGGCTCAAATTTGGGATGCTCCAGAGCAAAATCTGGGCTGAGGACTCTGCTGGATGCAGACAGGTGAATTTTAGATCTCACAGCTGATTTTGCAATGGAGCAAACAAACCTATGATCCAAAAACACCCTTCTGCATGGGGCCAGGTGTGGTTGAGGTTCCTCTGTCCCCTTGTCGCCTACTGCCCTCAGAGCCACCTGCGCTGAACAAGAAGCTTTTATGCTTCTCTTTGCCAAAATTATTCCAAAATACTGGATGCTAGGTGGGCCAGCATTTTTTCACCCATTTCTTAGAGCCAGCTCAGCTTTGGGGGCTGCCATTTGGGATGGCAAATGAGTACTGCGTTCGATGGAAACAGTGAGGTGTTACTGTGATGCACTGGCTCGGTCACCCCAGAAGACAACCTGAAGCTACCCAGCCTAACACAGACATGTGGTGTTTGTGCCTAGACCACGCAGGGCGTAGATGCCACTTGGCCCCGCTGTGCTGAGGGCAGTGGATGGTGTCAGGGCCGTCCCAGCAGGCAGAAGCAGAGAGGGTGGGAAGCCCACACACAGGTGCCTCAGCTGGAGGAGCAGCCTCTTCTCGCTTTTGCAATCCCTGCCTGCTTGACAGGCCCGGACGGCATTACATCACTTCCTAAAAACAATCAAACGGAGCCCATCTCCCTAAGAAGCACAACTCAGAGGCACCGGGGGCAGGAAACAGGAAATGTAAATGCTCTGCCGAAGCCTGCAGAGAGCCGCGCAGGCCGAGGCAGCATGCGGGTGCCCGGCTGGGTGCCTCTGCTCAGCACCTTGCTCCTGGTCCGGCAGGGCTCAGCCCAAGACGGTGAGTGGCCCCTGGCATGGGGACCCTGGGAACTGGATGGGTCTTGGGGGGTGACGGCTGGCAGCTTGTCTCGGGGACCTGCGGGAGCTTGCTTGCTGCTGCCAGCAGCCGTGTGCCACCTCCGCTTGCCTCGCTCCTTCCTGGCGGTGTCTTTTTATTGCACCTCCTCAGATGTAAGGCTGTGTGATGGAGATTTAATCCGAAATGTCAGGCTAGGTTTGTGGGAACTGCTGTCTCCAGTCTATCCCATCGCCCCTTTTGGGTCTAATGTTAACCATTTCTTGTACCTTGCCAGTCCCACACCCATACTGTTCACTGTATGCAATAGTAAAGCTGAAGACCAAGCTCAAGCTCTCCTTCCACTCAAAAGCCAGCTGCTGATTTCTGCAGCACTGATGATCCGAAACTCAAAAGAACAGCCAGTGCTGAGATCGATATTTGGCGGTCTGCCTTGCTGAGCGCTCAGGAGCTCAGAGGAAAGGGAGGCTGAGTGCTGGGGGCTCCTGCAATGGGTGTGCAACTCACAGCTTGAGGTGCAGGGCTGCTCTCTGGGGACAGCCCGCCCCCGGTGGGGCCGAAGTACCTCCTGGTATCAAGCCAGCCGCTGCCTGATGCCTTGTTGTGGACTGGGAGTGTGTTAAAGCTGCAGGCAGGGAGAAATATGTGGATTGTGTTTTGGCTGTTCATTTTTTTTTTCCTGAAAGTCAGTACTATTCTAGGCTGTATAATCGGGCTGCAGGTTCCAGGCGTGCTGCAGATCTTATCGCGGTTAGCGATCGTGCTTAGCTATAAGAATGAAGTAAGAGTTGTTACAAAATGGTTTGGTCTTGCCTGTGTTAAAGGCAGCCCCGCCGTGCTGCAGGCATGTCAGGAAAATGTGCTGCAGGCTTTGCACGTGCCTCATGATCAAAGCATCCATGGGAAGAAAAATCCTATGAGGAACAGAGCAGAACAGAGGTCTCAACAAAGCAGAGAGGTAGGAGGAACAGACCCAGAGGGATCTGGGTTTCTATAGGGACTTATACAGGCCACAGCTGGGCTGGGTGAATTCTGCTGTGGCCGGCCCTCCCAAGACATCCTGTGCGGTCACCATTTTCTGCTCACAGATCAACAGAGCAGCAGCTTTCTGGAAGTTTTCCTCCTGACTCCTCCAGCCCCAGACATGGCTCAGAAGCTCTGGGATCCTTGCAGTCTCACCTGTGCTATCTGGAAAGCACTTCCACAGCAGGCAATGAGAGCATGATTAGACCCTGCAGCACAGACAGATGGCAGCCTTATAAACTCTGTTCTCACACCGCATTGGAGCCTTGTAAAACTCTTGCCTTGCCATTTGGATTGTGTTGCACAGACAGCTTTGTCCTGGCCACCCTGCAATTCCTGAGGGGTGGTAGCACAGTGAGTATGCCCAGGTCCCAGTGCTGGCTTCATGCAGGGGGTCATGTATGTTAAATTTCAGTGAGTGACCCCTGGCTGTAATGTCTTGAGAGACTTCATGATTGCTGCTGAGCCCCTAGAGCTGTTGAATCATTAATTTCAGAGCTCTGCTGAGAGCAGGGAGCACTGAGAGGTACACACCCATGTGTCTGGATGTGGCAAAGTTGCATGTCACTAGTGTGGAGCTGGAAGGGCATGGGATCAAACTGTAACTAAAGGCACAGTTTGCTCTGGAAAAGCTGTAGCTTTCAAGGTGATGGATGAGGCTGCAAGCTCAGGGTATGGCTCTAAGCACAGGACCGAACACACAACACTGGCCATTAAAAGAACTTTTAGGTGCAGTGGGAGCACAGTTTTCTATTGCCTAGTTAGGAGCTCAAACACTGGCATCCTGCTCCAGGAACTTCCCAGACAGCACTTTCCAAGCACCCCTCTCTAATGGACTCCTGCCTGCAGCTGACAGAGCAGCCGCCTTGAGATACTCATGGTGCCTTGCAGGGCCTGCGGCAGCGCCAGTAGCGACCTGCTGTAGCACGCAGTCTGGGCAGGCCCTGGGCATGGCAGGGAGCGGCTGCGCTCAGATCAGCACAGGACGAGGGGTGAGTCAGGCACAGCCAAGCCGCCACGCGCATGGCATGGAGCCGTGGGAGTGCATTGCCAGGAGGGGCAGAGGTTGGGGGTGGTGCTGCAAGTGGAAGGGATCCTTACTCTGCAGGACCTCCTGGTCTCTGCTGGATTTGCCTCCCTCTCCCAAGTCTTCCTGCTGCTGTATTTGTATAACTTACAGGAAAGTATGGAGAAACCAAAAATTCCCAAATTACTAAACCTGCCTGTTCATTGACTCAGACCTGGTCCTTCCCAGCCCTCTTTCTTCCGCAAGTAGGAGCTGTAGTGTAGGTTGGAAAACTCCCTTCAAAAATTGCAGCCCACAAGCTCGATGAGAGCCCAGCGGGCGGAATGGGCCCTTGCCAGCAGAACTTAGTGTGCTGACTGCAAGCATTTTATTTTGCCTCTCATCCAGCCACAACCAGAAACCTGTCTGCCTGCTTCATCGACAGCTCCTATCGCCACCTCCTATCACCACCTCCATGTGCCTCAACACAAACCTCAGGGGAAGAAATGCAGCCACAGCAGAAATGCTATTTGTTTGCGGAGCTGCTCAGGTCCTGGTACAAAAGCTGCTTGGGACATTCAGCTCCCTTCGCATGCCCTGAAAGGCAGGCTCAGAAGCAAAGATACCACAGTATCCCCCTGCTGGGGACCAGAGTGGCAGGCAGCAAGGTAGCATGGGATGTGCCACAGCTACAGGGGAACAAGGGAAACGAGAGCACTGTGCTTGCAGGAACCTTGTGCAATCAGCTGCCCTGATGCTGAAAGACAGTTAAATTGCTCGAAGAAAATGCCCTAGTGAGAGGAAATCTTGTCCAAAAAAGAGATGGCGTTTTGTCCCTGGAATGATGTAAAGTGAACAAAAATACGTGGCGACAAGGTCACTCCTTCCTGTGATTTGCCATTTTCTTCATCCAGAGACTAGAAAAGGTAATTTTATTTCATGCAGAGATAGATAGCTTGAAATCTGCTTTGCAGTTCAAATATAGGCAAATAAAAAGTAGTGGAAACATTGGAAATGTCTCTCTTGGAAATCAAACAGAGCATATGCTGCAGCTGAAAGCCTGGTGCTGCATTTAATGAGATGTGACTGTTTGCTTTTGCTTTAGAGTCACCTCATGCTTCAGACATTAAAAAAATCCATCTTAGCTCTACTAGTAAATGAAAAACAAACAATTTCCCCCACATCCTTTCCCCTCTGCACTATTTTTAGCAAGAGGCTCGTCCTTGTACATCTACCAGCCCAGGCAGCTGACAGGTGTCAGAGGGATGGCCACAGCAGAGAGAAAATAGAGGTTGCAGGAATGCACCCAGCAGTGCGTCTGCCCTGCCGGCAGCTCTCTGGCCACATGCACTGATGGAGGTAAACGTATGTGGTATAAATGGAGGAGCTGCAAACGTTGGGACTATGAACTACCTCTGGAGAGAAGTCAGATTGCTAAAAAGAGTAATGGAGAGACTCTCTTCTTCCTGTCTTCTGTAATGAGAGGATTAATGAGAGCCAGCAGATCACAGGAGCATGTGCATAAGGAGTCACTGCCTGCAGGGATGCAGAGGCTGTGCTTCGCTCTCGGCTGAATAGGGAAGATTGCAGCAGGGAGGCTACTGACATCAAGCCTTTTGCCACCAAAGAGCTGACATTCACATTGTTGTGCTGCAGTGAAAGAGGCTGGTGGCCTTCATAGCAGACAAATGCCTTACTTAAGCATCACAAGTCATTCGATAAGTATTTACATTCTCTCCTAGTGTTAAGGAAAGGATGAAAGAATCAGATGCCTGCATGATAACTGGCATAAAGACGCAGATAGATTGCTGCTGTCCCACTCAGAGCATTGCAGTCATTTGAAATTGGGCTGCCTGGCACATAGTCTTGGGGGATTCTCAGCTCCCTCTTGAGACAGACGAGGCATGTGAGGATGTTACAGAGTAGTGAAGCAAGAGGTAGCGCTCTTACCTCAGTTTTCCTCTCTTTCTCAGAGTCCCTGGGAAGGACAGCATTCTGTCCTTCTGATTTCTCATTTGTAAAATGGAGATGATAACTGCTCATCTCTCAGGGCCATTATGAAGATTAATGTGTTTACCAAAGCGTTTTAAATGCTAAGTGCTTTCAGATCCAGTCCTGTGAGATTTGAAATGCCAGCAATGAGGAGCTAAAAACCTGAAGCTCTAGCTAACTCAAGTGGAAACTCTTATCTGCCCAGCACCTGAAAACAGCAGAGACAATCATGTCAATGCAGAGGTCATGCCGTTCCATCCTGCTTTGTGGCATAAATGCTGTGCCACGATGTCAACCTGTTGAAACCAAGGGGGAACAAAAGTGTCCCTGAGCAAGCTGGCTGAAGAACCACATTGAGGTAGAAACTTGTAGCAGACTTGTCATCTAGTTTAGCATCCAAAGGCTGAGAATTCAGGTGCATGCACGCATTCACTGATTATCTTTTTTAAGACTTGAATGAATAGCAAAGCTGCATGCTTTGAGTCATTGATAACATTGATGAAACCCACAAAATGTTAACTTGTCCCCCTGTGTTTGGCAGGCTCTGAAAACAACGAGGATGGCTCAGGATACAGAACAGCAGCATTCCCCCCTGCTACAGTGCCACCTCCTTCCTCTGTACCTCCCCTGTCCCCTACCCCTATGAGCAGCCCCCAGCCAGCACTGGTTTCTGCAGGGCCCACCGAAGGCAGCCTGGAAATAGAAAGTACACCCAGCCCTGAACTGAGCGACACAAGCAGTAACGGGAGTCTAGAGACGGAAGAGCCATCTGTCCTAGTGTACGCTGTGCCCGCAGCGGTGCTGGCCCTGCTGGTCTTACTGGTCATCATTTTTATAATAGTCCATAACCGGAAAAAGTCTAAGCAAGGTAAACTTCTCTTCTTGGGCATTGGGAAGCTATCTTTACCACACACTTGACATTTAACAAATTATTTCAAGCTTCAGGGTGCCCCATTTAGGATGCTTGTCTCTGTTTTTAGTTCCACGTCTCTTGTGCAGAAAAGGAGAGGCATGCAGCAGCCCCACATTGTGAGCTGTAGCTGTTTCTCAGCTCATGCCAGGCAACCATGGATGCACAGCGCCAAGCTGCAGCTCCTCACACTACGCACAGCGGAGTGGGGCCACAGCTGTGCAACTTCATCTTTGTGCTCAACAACCACAAACAAGGTGGATCAAGCACTACTCCTGCCTTATACTGCCTGCAGGCCACAGCAAGGAAAACAGAGTTCCAGGAAGCCACCTTCAACAGAGAAATCAGCAGTTCTGGAGCATAAAGCAATAAAAAGCCATTCACATTGGCACTGTATTAATAAATGACCTTCTGAAGTAGTGGTACATGTGCCACGAAGGCAATTGATGAATTCATGAAGGTGACATTTGCCATGGCAATTTCAGCACACACTCACCCCTAGTAAACTCTCAGCTCCCAGACAGGTACCTTGTTGCCCTTTTCTAGTCTCCAGCATGACCAAAGATCATCTCAAGATCTCCCACACAGTTCCCATTGCTTGGAGGTGGGATTTTGAGCATTACTGAGGAAGGGGTGGACGGATCCATGGTCTTGGGGGATTCTGCAGCAAGGGAGTAATACTAGCACTGGTGTTGGCATGCACAGGCCACGTTTAAATATTAGTTGTTTTAAAATAGCATATAAGCATGCTTTGTTAGTGAACTAGGCTTCTGTGCACTCATATCCATCACCACGCTGATATCCACCCACTCTCAGCCAGGCAGGGCACATGATGAGCTTCATCAGTACGCCCAGGATTAAAAACGGGTTGCTGTGAAAACTGCAGGCAAGGAGGGTGGGTTGTTCCATCTTTCTTCTAAAAGGGAAAGTTACACCCTTTGTAAACAGATCTCATCAGAAACAATCCTGTTGAAGACTGTCCTACAATACAGTGAATAAACACAAACAAGGTAACTCAACACAAACTGTTCTTCTTTTCCAGATGAGCTGGGGAGTGAAAACGTGAAAAGGTAAAGTGTGTGCATATCACTTTTCCACCATTTAGTATAACCTCTGTGTCGTTTGCCCCTGTTTTCAAGCTTATCTTCCCCACTCTTTGGCTGAGGTGGAAAAAAAAAAACCAAAAACAAAACACAGTTAATAACTGCACAGCTCTGACTCAAGTGATAACTTTTATCAAGCTCCATTTTGCTAATCAGTGCTAGAAGATACAAAACTGGACTAATGGAGAAAAAAATAATTTCCTTAAAATAATACTTGAACCATGCGACTCCAGGAGCAATCAGTAAAAAGATGACTAAACAGAGACATTTAAATAAATGCTGAATTAGGATAGCTATGATCTCTCCCTTTTAAGTCACTGTCACTGCTATTCAAGCTACAAAGCTCAATCACTGGAGCAGCAGCGACGATAAGACACTATGTATTACACAGATGAATGCATGTTTGCCACTTGGCCATTTGCAGGATGGAGAGGTTTGGGATACCTATGTCAACCCCCTGCTCCCAGGCACCCCATGCCACACCATCTTGTCCCCAGACCATTCTTTGCACTGGTATCCCAGTGAGCCCTGCCACGCACAGCCCAGCTGTTGATGTCTGCTAGCTGTCATCACCTTCATACATTGTTCAGGTTGACCTCTTCCCAGGTCATTCACCTAGGATGGCATTCCAGAGTGCCTACATATGCCTGGAATGAGGCAGTCCTTATCAATTTGTTGATTTAAGCTTTTGTGTAATGCCTTTTTTCCCCTTCCTCTCAAGCCCTATTTTCGAAGAGGACACACCCTCTGTTATGGAGATAGAAATGGAAGAGCTCGATAAGTGGATGAATAGCATGAACAAAAATGGTACATGGTAACCTCTCTATTCCATCATTCCTCTCTTTTTAGCTGACACAAATCCCACGCACAGAAAAGCAGTGGAAGGCACTGTATTCGTGTCACTGATTTCCCTAAAGAATTTTTAGTTGTGTTCTTGAATCTTCAACAGAAATAGCAGCACAAATGTCAGGGTAGGATTGTTCAGAAGAGTATTTTAGTTTGTGTGGGAGACTCTTAACATATGTTATTCCCTCATAATTGTTTTGAATTTGCAGTAGGCATTTGTAAATACAAGTGCAAACAGAATTTATATTTTTAAACCCACATTTTAATGATAGTTTATTTGAACCACTTCATCCTTTCAGACTTCAGCTCCTACAGATCTGTGCTCCACACCATGCTGTTGTAGAAGATACAAGTATTTATTTGTAGCTCAGACCACTGCTTACTTAAAATTGCTGCAAACATGTCATGACCGCATCCCTCCACTCCTGGTGGGGTTTCTTGTACCACCCCCACCACATGAAGAGCAAACTGCTCTTTGCTGCTGCTCCCCATCTTCTGCACACTCTCCAGCAAATCTGCCAGCAATTGGTACTTTCTGTACCTCTCATTAGAAGCACCTTCTACTCCCTCACAGCTAACACTTTCAAGCATCTGCGTTAACAGATACCCACTAGCTAGAAAGTGCTAGAACCTGGATATTTCCTCATTCTTGGTCTCTTGCCTTATATGCCAACAGTCCACTTACCTGACCTCCTCACGTTGTTTTGCTTTTCAAGACACAGAACCCTTTGGAGCATGTCTTCGTGTTAGTACAGCACTCCAGCCACATGATGGGGTTTCGATCTTCTTAGTCTGTAACCTCCAGTAGAAAACACATTCTAAGAGACACTAGTAGAATAAAGGCAGTAAGCACAGCACTTGGGGAAGCAGTGTTGTAAAATAACTTTCAGTTCTCTGGACAGAAGGGATCAATTTTTTTATTTTTATTTTTTTAAATAACTCCCTAAACCCCAAACGGAACTACAAAATATGGGTGCAGCCATCAGCAGTGGAGGATTAACAAATTGTCCCCCAAGCCTTACCTCATGGGAAACAGTCCTACTACGGAGAAACTTCGTGCATATGTATACAAAAAACCTCAGTATTCCTAACAAACAAATTACCATAATGGCTATCAAAGGGAAAAGGGATTTAAAACATAACATTTACACTGCTTGGAACGTGGAGACTTTACATATAAAAGGGCACAGAAGAGCAGATTTATACACCAGAGTCACTGCGCAAAGAAGTCAATGCAATTCTGAAATAAACATTGACTAACAGCAAATAGTAATAATCATCTTGGTTTCTATCCTTTTTCAGCTGATTGTGAATGTCTGCCTACTGTAAGAGAAGAAGAAAAAGAATCAGTGGCCAATCCAAGGTACTTAGGATTCATTATATTTCTTGAAGAAACACAGTCAATGCCAGTTGTTCCAAAATAACCTCATTTCTAAACTGTATAATAAATAGACCAACTAGGAGGCACATTTAAATTTTAGAGTGTTTTATGCATGAGAATTAGGCTCCAGCTCAAATGGTTTGATGCTTCTTGAGTTTTAAATCGGTGACCATCTGTAAACCCCTAACTAACCCTGCAGCAGCAAACCTGTGTGGGACAGACGACAAGATGGCACAGACACAGCTTACCTCACGGATCAGGCCATTGACACAGGTGCCTGAGGTGCTAACATCAGTACTCAGATCAGCTTACCTAATTTCTTCCCAAACAGTGGTTTTTTTTTTTTTTTTTTTTTTTTTTGTTTTTTTTTTTTTGTTGTTTTTTTTGTTTTGTTTTGTTTTGTTTTAAAATCACTGAGATTCAATACAGGAAACTTCTCAATGCCTGATGTAGCACAGTTGCCTGGGCATTAGTTTCCTTCTTCATGCAAGGTGCTTGGGAGTTTCTGTTAAGGCTCAAGTGTTTTGAGCTGTGATTTATATAAGACAACATTTTGAAAGCATCCAAGACAAAACATTGCATTAATGACATTTTGATGTTTCAGAATGCATGTTCTAAAATTACTTCACAGAGCAGGTGACTTCTTAAACGTAAAATTTTTAAGAACACAGCAATTAAGGGTTTATCTTAATTGACTACATTTCCTAAGCTCATCTTGCATGAAATTTTGGAACATGCTTCATTTCCAAGTAAAAAAAATAGTTCAAGTGGTACCGTTTTCTGGTTCCCATTCATTTCCCTGATTGAACATTTGTAACCTACTCCAGGTAACTCACTTCAGCAGGGAGCTGGACTAGATCATCTCTAGAGGTGTCTTCCAACAATACTGTTATTATTAGGAAAAAAAAAAAGGGTTACTCCTCCCTGACCAAATAATGCCCAAAAAAGTATGTGCAGATAAATACCTATTTTTGCATCTCTTGAACAAGGAAGGTGAAAGGCCACCAAGTAAAACAAAATAAAGCTATTATAATGCAAAAACTTACAAGCATCAAAGCTGTGAAGTCACGCACCAGGGGCAAAGGATTGTAGCCCTAACTCCCTTCAAGGTGGTGCTCAGCTGTTCCACACATAAACTCACTGAGTTACAAGTATGCATCTTGATACATTTTGTATAAACACTTCTTGCCTTGGAAGGCTAGTGCTGAAATCATGCCCAGGGTTTCCACACACACAGGAGGCAGGTAAAAGCTTGTGCACCTTACCTCCTTTGGTAGATAGGCACAACCCTGCTGAGTTAGATTAAGCAAAGCCTCTCTCACACACACTTTGTTACATCCACAGGGCACTCTTTTTTTTTTTTTTTTTTTTTTCTTTAAACCAAAAAGAAAAGGGAGAACTCATGAAGTGAGGTTTGGGAGGAATCAAATCTGGACACGAGAAAATTCTCTCTTCCCAGGCTGTAGTACAATGTCTGTCCTTGGAAACAGGAAAGCTGCTTCTGCTAAGTTCTTTGCACTATCAGGCAAAGTAACATTAGGAATATCAATAATCACATGAAGGAAAAACTTAACTCACCCAATAGTTGATGAGGGTCTCCGGCTGTAGAACTCTCCTCAGGAAGCAGCCCTGATCCAGGAGAAGTTTTCCCTTCAGACAGTAGCCCTTAAACAAGCCCAGGGAGGGGTGGACCCAGAGACACACAGGAAGCACAGGTCAATTGCTTGCACCTATGCATCCTGGTCCAGCCACCCCCTTCACCAGGTACTCCATTATCAGTTCAGGCTGGGACAAAACAGATCTCCCTACATGAAGTTTAATAAAACATTAAAAAATAAAGCAGAATATTAAGATTGGGGCCCTTTAAGCAGAAGTTGCATTTTCTTATTCCGGTGCATCTAAAACATTCTAGATCAAGTACCAAGGAGCAAACTAAGTAGGCAGAAAACAGAAAGTGAAAATTTAACAGTTTAAACATTAAAAACGAACAATCAAGACGTAAAATGTTATCTCCCAGTCTAGGAAAACAAAGCTGATTTCTCAGCCCGTGCCTGGTGGCAAGATAGCCTCTAGCCAGCAGAAGCTGGATGAGCTCTTGCTCATATGCAAGAGAGAAGTGATCAAGCAGCATGATGCTAGTGTTTCTTCTCTTTCATGTATGCCCAGTGATGGTGAATCATGAAGCTGCACCAGCAGAGATCTCCTCAAAGGGAGCAGCACACAAGCTAACAGAGCCCAGATTGTGGACAAACTGGATTTAAACAACTCACCACAAAAGACTGGAGAAGCAAATGCTTCTGTTGCATACTTCTACTTACGATCTTCAGAAGAGAAATATAATCAATTGGAAAAATAAAGGAACAGTGCGGCAGTAAGACTAAGAAGCTCACTTAATGCCCAAAGCAGCAAGATTCAGCACTGGTCATGAAAAGCTTCCTTTCCCTGCTGAAGTTTTGTAGAAGCTGTCCTTGCTTCCATGCAGCTCTCCAGTTCTGCATAGTGCAGCCAGTAAAAACCACATACACTCCAAGTTGAGCAGGCTGTTTTATCTCTGGTTTGTTTTTATATACGTACATGAACAATACCCACAATTCTGGATTGCACTGGTGGAAGTGGGTTTGATTCAGGCTGCTGATGCTACATCCAAGCTACATTCGTCTCCCAATTTGCTTTTTGGTAATGGTGCATGGATTTGCACAGGAATTCTGCTAGTGCAGAACAAGAGCAGGACTGACAAACAGCAGCCAAAGGATCCACCAGAAAGCAGCTTGAAGCCCAGCAAGTTTTGGTCTTCAAATTAAGGACACTGTACACGTGAAAAAAATTGAGGTTGCCTGACAGTTAACTGCAGGTGAGCACCTTGCTAAGTCTCACCACCCAGCCCTCCACCCCACGCTGTGCAGCTCATCAGATCAGCCTGCTATAGACACACTCAGCTTGGAAACACTTCTTTTCATCAAAGTAGACCGGAAAACTGAAAAATTCATTACTAAACCAAACATTCGGTAGATTGTTCCTAACAAAGGTCCAAGGTTTTCAGGTGCAATAAGATTTCAGCTTTGTATTTTTGAATATTGAACTTGGAACACCTGAAAGACATTGGCTTCTTAACATACCTGCTCTCCTTCCTTCAGTGACATTGGAAAGTCAGACTGCTGAGACACCTTGGGTTTGGAAGATAAATATGGTATCACACCCATCGATTTTAGACAGCACGTCTTCCACAGATGTGATTTAAATACACAACACATCTGACTGGATGCTTGTTTATGCAAAGCTTCCCCCCCACCGTATTTAAAGCTTTCATCTCACCATGCTTTAGATCCTGCCCTATCACATTCTACTTACATTGTATTTGAATGTTCTTCTCACTCAATAGATGTTTTATATCATCAGTTTCAATTTGCCTGCACATATTTCAGTAACATGTTTTCATACTACCTTGGTTTAAGGGACCAAGTCAGGAAAACCACCAGGCACCTGGGAGGAGAGTTAATGCTCACTAACAGCTCACAGAGGAGGGCTCAACTTCGTGAATAAGAAAGTGTCAACGCATTTAAAGCTAACAATTACCCTGGTTTTATTCGCTACTGAATACCAGTTAACTAGTGATTTCCTCAAAGAGGAAATATTTCTTCACTGTGCCAAAATAATTTATTGCAAATACTGAATTTCATGAGTTATACTAAATTACTATTCCCTATTTGGATGATTTGTAATTTAAAACAACAAGAAAAAAACAAACGTTGTGAAAGAGTGTGAAACATTTTCTCAAATATTTCCACAAGTTCCTGACAGTGAAAAATCACTCCCTAGATATACCTAATTAAAATAATATAATCACAGGGGAAAGTGGAAGATTGAGATAATGGCAATCGAAAAGTGGAAGGGGATGTTTTCCAGAAGCAGCTTTGCTAGCAACTTCTTTTCCAGTAGGACAAAGATGCTATGCTAAGGCTTTCTGCTGTTTGTAAAGCAGTAACCAGAAGATGTCCAAAAGTGAGAATGTTCCCTTTCAGGGCTTAGGGGGAAAAAAAAAACAACGAAAAAAACCCCAAGAAATAAATGACTAATGTTTCTTTGAGACCATTGCTCTTCACTGGCTGTATGGTTCATAGGCACTGCTGCTACAGCAATTAACAACAGTAGACCCCATTTTTCCACTGTTAATTGTTTTTTAAATTTTGATTTCCAAAACAGACTCTACTCCTTGAAGTGATATTGTATGACCTAACTCAGCCATGACACAACCTTTCAGACAGTCCTAGCATGTTTACAACCATAAATAACACACTAGCTCTGCCTGTGACAGCATGACAGCATTTGAGAACAGACTGCTGTGCCTATGTTTCGCTGTTGATTTTAGATTAATACTAATCCTCAGTGGTCTTTTTGGTCAAAAACACTTGAAATAATTTTCTTAGAGATTTACTTTGTCTTGAAAGATGCAAGTTCATAGAAGTGCTCCCTCCAGCTAAACTCATGTTAATAAGCATTAATCTTTATTAAATACATAATTAGGCAATTTTTACATCAAGCTCTAAAAATCAATTTTGCCCAGAACTAATTTCAAGGTGCCAGCTCTGCAGCGATCAAGGTTATACTGCTTATCCTTCCTAAAAACAGGCATGCCAAAATTTCTTCTCCTCTGGAACTTTCAAACCATTTCAAAAGATACAATAAGGGTCTGGACGCTTTCCCAGCCAATTCTGGATGAGGTTATCTGAGTCCATTGCTTTCTTTTTTTCCTCCAAGATGCACATCTAAAAGTTGCTGAGTTGCTATTGAGAAGATAACACTTAAATTCTGCCTAGCATCAAATCCTGTCACTCCAAAGCAAAAGACACCAGGTGCTGAATAATTCGCATTGCAGTACAGTTACAGATGCATCTAACATGTTCCCTCAGTCTGTGCAAATTACATTTAGCACTGCTGTTTTCCCTGATCTTACATTTTCACCAAGTGTTTTGTTATCCTTTTCTTCTGATCTCACAACCCGCTTTAAACTGTCCAGAGGAATCCATCACACACCTGATAACAGAGCCCATCTCTAGGCTGCCCATCTCACCTAGCTGCTCTCTTCTTTCACCTTCATTTCTGTATGGACTTCTGCACTTGCCAAGGCCACTGCCCAGCATTCAAGTTACAGCCAATCATCCCTGCAGACCCAAGTGTCATAGCTGAAACAGCGTGGTTCACTGCCTTGGTTCCTTTCCTCATTCTCATCCAGTATTCCCATCTCCTGACTACCGATTTGCCCACTGCACTTCAGTTCATTTAGCGCCTTTCATCATCGAATCATTTGAGTTGAACCTTTAAAGGCCATATAGTCCAACTCCACTGCAATCACCAGGAACAGCTACATCAGGCTGCTCAGAGCCCTGCCCAACCTGACCATGAATGCCTTCAGGGTTAGGGCATGCACCACATCTCTGGATATAACCTGCCCCAGTGTCTCACCAAGCTTACTGTAAAAAAAAAAAAGAAAAAATAAAATAAAAAAATCCCTCCTCTTCTAGTTAGAAACCATTTCCCCTCGTCCTACCACAACAGACCCTCCCCCCAAGGTGTCTGTCCTCTTCTTTCTTAAAGCCCGCCTTCAGAAACACTAAAGCTGCAATCAAGACTTCCCAAGGGTATATTTCAGTAGTAGAGTATCATAACAATGATCAGACAAATGATGTCCCTCATTTAAAATCCCCCAGTAGCAAAAAGCATCTTCAGTATAGCCACAGACTCTTATAACCTGTATTTTAGGGCAGCCATTCCCCTTGTTTAGAAAGAAGGGGAAAGAGAGTTGGCTGCAGAGCCTGGGGTGCATTTCACACCTTGGGGATTACCACAAAGTTGCTGCTCCATCCCCAGGTCCTTGCCCCACTGTACCCCAATCAGTAGCACCACACTTGCCTCATACAATGGAGCCAGAAGGGGTTGAGGAGCTAATTTGGGAAGGAGAGATGGGATAGCTGCCAATTTTCTTGCACCCATATCACTACCAACATCAGAGGAAAAGCATCCTGAGCATCTCTGCTTAAATTTAAGGAAGGGCTCTGGTGGTGCTTCCATATGAGTAAAAAAGAACAGCAGCAGCTCTGTTTGATGTGAGCAAAAAGCAGCACCAGCTGCTCCCCCACAGGCTGACGTACAACACAGGTCAGTCAGCTCATGTGACCACATAAGCAGTCACCAGTAGGGTATTTTGTACATCTGTGCTGCTCATATAGTCTGCTCATGGGAAGTGTCTTTTTCTGCTAACAAGAGCTAAGTGCATACCTGAAATAAGGCACTGGCAAGAAGAAAGGTAATCGGCAAGCATTGCTTTGAGGGCAAATTACACTTCACCTGGAGCTGCACTTGTTTGCATCATCACAGCCACACAGCTAGATGTTGGGGATCACATAAGTAGCACATGGTTACAGGACGCTTCGCCTTCTCCTACATGTCTTCATTTGGATATTTTAGATGTTTCAGACTGGGTCAGATACCATAGAAACTGGAATTGCACACTGGGACACCCAGAAGTTTCAGGAAGCTATTTGATATACACTAAGAGGATTTTCATCCAAGTGAGATTCCCCCTCCACTCATCTTCCTTTTTTTTTTTTTTTTTTTAATAAAAGAGATTAGGTGTGATGTAGCATTCAAATATAAGGGAACAACAAAAATCCAGCTGTGGCTCCTGCTCAGATAACTTCAGTGAAAAGAGATGAAGAGCAGGATCAGAACATCATTTGTCTAGGTGCTGTTTCATGAGAAGGATCGTTTTCTCAGGAGCAGTTACTTCTAAACGCAGAAGTTTCTGTGGTTTTCAGCTTCAGCAAAAACACAAAGCTAAATGAAAATGAAAGTCACCTATTTTAGAAAGGTTTTTTGAAGTAGAAGTACTTCTCTGTATAGAACAGAGGCATCAAGTCCTGAAAAGGAGTAAAATATGTTAAGAGTGAACTCTCCCACAAGTCAACTGAAGTTTTATTTATTCTCACTTCAATTCACAGGAGAGACTAATGTTTAAAACATACATTCCTTAAAATGAAGGGAAAAAGTCTGCTACAAAAATACCCACCCAGACACTATTGTTAAAAATACATAAACACTGAAAACTAAAACTAAGACTAGAGTTGGAGCCTACATATTTAGATTTGGGAAGACATACCCACAGTGAAGATGAGGATACCAAGGTGCTTTTTCCAGGCTGCTCCTCCACCACTACAAAGGCAGCACTGTCTCTGCTTTAATTTTTCTACACAAACAGAAAGGGTTGTATACATTTCTTTAACAGGCTGGAGATGTTGAACATTTGCCTTACACTCTGCTGTGAAATCAATTGGACAAGTTTCATGTGTATACTTGGGATTCACTTTTTCTAATCTAGCTTCCATTCCCTTCCACAACCTGAAATATGGAGCAAACGGATTATTTTCCACTGATGTCACTGGGATTTGGAGAACAAGTCATCAAAACTAGCAAGTTTCTCCACAGTAGAAGCAGCAGTTCCGTTAATTATTTACTCAATTCTAAGTCAACCTACCTTCACACCTCCCACTTTAATTTAAATTTAGTAGCTTGCCTTCACTGGCTTCCTGCACTCAAAAGAGCTGAGCTATTTACTGAAGCACTCTCTTTGACAGAAACTCCAAATAGCAAACAAATCCTCACCATCTTAAATTCAGTAGCAAAGGCACGTGGGCAGTGCATGAGTTGTCAGCAGCAATTTATCCACATCACAACTCTTAGTCTACCATTATTCCTAACTTTCATCATTCACTGTATAGTCAGAGTGTAGTTATCAAGAGTAATCACAGAACCACAGAATTGTAGGGGTCAGAAGATGAGCTCCAGAGAGCATCAAGTTCAACCTCCAAATAAGCTTATTTACTTTCTGAACTGAAATAATTAAAATGTCTTTGTCCTGCTTGCATTTTGCTTTTGGAAAAATGCAATTAGCACTGCAGAACAGTGCTAATCTACTACACTCTTGTAAGTGACTGCTTCTCAGAAGGGTAATATCCAAAACCCCCAATCACACATCCTATGCATGTGTATACATTTAAGCACAACACTAAAATAAACAAGAGCACTTGCTTCCACCAGCAGGTGGCTAGGAGGCTTGCTGTGAAACCTTCCTGACACCAACAAATGAGCATTTTCAGTTCCAGCTGGCTGGCAGGGACTCTCCTGGCAGTACCTTCCCCTACAGCATATCTCTGTACCACATTAAACACACCCAGGCCTGGTTCCAAGTGATGCTCTGACTGCCACCCCCAGGAGGGAATCCCCACCTGCAGTTGCAGAAGTGATACTTCTTAAATCTGCTTCAGACTTTTTACCACAAAGCACGTTGCATGTCAAAGCATGACTCGGACGACGGAAGCAAGGCACATAGCCTTGGGTGGCTGCACACTGCAGCTCCCCTGTAATAAAGGGGAGCCCAACATTTTTGGAGAGCAGCATTTACCTCAGCCATCTGATCACTGCCCTCAGAGGTAGCTCAGCACTGACTAGTGCTACAGAGCAATCTCATGGTTTAATGCTTTACGCACAAACGGCAAGGATGGAAAGGAGGGTCTGCAGAAGCTTTAGTCTACTAACCTCACGAAAGGCTGTCACCCTGTGCTGGAATGGCAGCAACACATGGATGTGTGGACAGAGCATCCCTGGTTGCAGAACAGCAGCTGTCCCCCTATGTTGAGAAAAGGAGTAACAGAGTAGAACCAACTAGGAAGGTTATGGAATAAGGAGCCTACAACCCCATAGAGAAAGCGATTTCTGTAGCTGTGCATTACTTGAGTTCACAGAAGAAATTTTACAGGACACACAGATAATGAAAGACTTCCCTGCTTTGATTTAAAGTTTAACATACTGCTAGCACCTCAGCAACTCAAAGATGATTCTTTTGCAGTTTTTAACATACTAACAAGCTCTGGAGGAAGGTTCCACAGTAACACAGTAGCATTAGTTAACTTGCCCAAGACCATATTCTAAAAAGCACAAACACTTGTTACCCCAGCTGAGGTACGGTGATGAGTTGAAAGCAAACACTGTCAGGAGGCTCAGATCAAGGCACTATGCTTGAACAGCACAGGA